GAGTGATGGTGCAGCGACCGGGCTCCGAGGAGCCCAGGAGGTGGCCAGGCCTTACTACCGCACGGGAGGAGGAGGAGGAGGAGGAGGAGGAGGAGGAATAGGCGGAGGAGGAGGAGGAGGAGGAGGAATAGGCGGAGGAGGAGGAGGAGGAGGCGAAGAAGGCGCATGCCGAGGAAGGGGGACGCGCCAGGCCGAACGCGACTCCTGGGAGCCTTCCGCGCGCAGCTGCGCGCACCGTCGCACCTCCGTCGGCGAGGGCTCCCGTGCGAATGGTGTGCTCGCCTGCCGGCGTCGGTGCGCCTGCGCCTCGTGGACGCCCCGAGGTCACGCGCGGAGAGGGGTCGAGGCTCCTTCCCGCCACACGTTATTCTGGAGCCTCGGCGGCGCCGCGCCCGTGCTGAAAGGAACAACGTTAAGTCGGGCGTGTCCCTCTACAGGAGGAGTATTCAAACATAGTCAAAAAATAGTATCGGGACGATTTGTTTCTACTTTTGATTTTTGTTGAGTGTTTGTTTTGCTATTTTTTCTGTCGTCCAAGATCCCCCTGTAGGAGGACAGGCCCGACCTAAGGATAACGCCGACTTGGGCGAGGCGGGTGCGGATGGGGGAGGCGTGCAAGGTGGAACCTGCGGAGGAGTGGGAGGGCCATATGTATTATTGCTGTGAAAACTGGTCGAATGTTGTGTACCTACCATCGGTGCCCTGCAAGGGCCGCGTCAGTAACATGGTTACGCCAGAAGGATCATAGGAAGTCCTCCTCCTCTCCCCCATTGGCTCCAGTGACCTCCTCCTCCCTCCTCGTTGCTACACCCCAGTTTCTTTCATAGCTGTGCAGTATTATGGGGTCTGTCTGTAACCATTATTTTTGTTATGTGCTCCCTGTCTCGAATATGGCCGGGTCGGAGTCCCGTTGTGCGTACCATCCCATCTCCTCGTCTCTCTCGAATAGTAACTGCATGTCAGCTGCAAATGTTTGGGCCCACGGGTTAGAATGTGGTCCTAACTATCCAGCTCATATCTGCAAGCCTCCTGACCCCCCGTGATACGTCTAGTCGGGAGGCGCCAAACACTGCAGCGAGCACCGCACCGTGCTCCGTGGGGTAGCGGGACCAGCTCTGGTATCACCTTAGCCGTCTTTTCGTCAGTGCAATGCTTGAACGTTCCATCCTCCGGTACCTGAATACTTGTCGTACTTTGTTGCAGCGTATGGTGTCGTCCTCCTTTTCCCAAGACGTAGCTCCTCCTGCTAGTGTACGTAAGTATTTGCCTAGTGCGCTGTCTAACGCATTGGTGTGTGCTGTGGTTGTAACAAATGCCGTTAATCCGCTGAGGGCCGCACCTATGACGAAGGCCGTGTATATACATGAGTTGTTTGATCTGGCGTGGTGTGTCGGATGTCCAGAACGTTCCGCATTGTCGTCACGCCAGTCTTATCGCACTAACGCGTCTGGCTATTACGCCTGTTATGCCCTGTCCTGTTGGTAGGTACGGCCCCAGTACCCTCATTTCTCTGAGGGCGAGCCCTCTTTGTGTGGTGCTGCGTCGAAAGGCCCTGGCAGTACCGTAGTTACCCCTGTTCACTAAGTATAGTAGGTGGTTAGTTCTGCTGTGATAGGGCCACGGCCTCCTTCTTTCAGTGTGTCGGCCAGTCGGTCGGTGGTGCTGCAGATTTGTGTCTCTATCTTTTGTGCCATGGCCATTTCTGGGATTGTGTGTACATGGGTGATGTCGTCTATGAATGTGTTGAGGCCAATGCCATGTGTTTTGCCTCCCACTGGGTCGTGTGTGTCGTGTGTAGTCTGGTTTTGGTCGCTTCTCTCCTGTGACCACCATTTGTTGACGTAGGCAGAGGGTAAGACCCATGTGTGCTCCAGTTGTGCTTTCCGCTTCTACTGGGCCATCTGCCGCCTCGAGTGCCATGGTCGAGTGGTCAATGGCAGCCATTGTGTAGCGCTGGTCGCTTTCGTACGCCACGTTTGAATGCTACCGCTCTTAGCAGTGCTCTGTTTGCGGCTGCGGCTGCGTTGGTGCCGTCGCAGTTCGTGGTGATGGTGCTGACCCCTCCTTGTGCAGCCCTCCACTGGGCAGCTTGTACGCATAGCATGGAGATGTCCCTGCACCTGTGTGGTAGGCCTCCCTGTGCCCATCGTGGGTGGTCGGTGGGGGGGGGGCCTCGTTGTTGTATCCCTGAGTGCCATGCTCGTAGACGTTCAGTATCCGTTTGTCTGGTATGCCGTCCGCTGGGAAGGCTTTGTGAGCGATGCCGATCTAGCGGCGTACCCTGGCAGCTGCGACACTGTAGTGGGATCTGGTCGAGGCAGTGCTTGTACTCGTGCTGGAGCTCGTGCATTCTCGGCGCTCCTAGTCCTGCGTAGGTCCCCCTGCCCACGCCGTATGACCGTTGTTCCCGCATCTCTGCGTAGTTGTCGTCGTCCACTGGCCCTGCTGCCTCGCCCAGCGCTGTCCCCATAGTCCACTCCATTTTCTCTAGTAGCTCCCTCCTCCCTTCCTTGAACTCTCCCAGAGTAGTGTTAGTGCTCCGGGTCCTCCTCGTCTGATCTCTTTTCTGCTGCTGCCATCCTGCGGAGCTCGAGCTGGTCGGACTCGTCGGTAGGGGCTCCTGAGGTGGAGGGAGGGTCGAGCATCAGCCAGGTCATTCCTGTAGGCATCCCCCATTCTGGCCAGGCTCTTCTCTTGCACGCTCGCTGGCAGCATCGTGACGTCGCCTTCTCGTCGTCTTCGGCCGGCCCTCGCAGCTCGGTGTCGGTCGGTAGTCCCTCGATGGCGTCAGAGGCATGCTGTGCGTGCTCGGCTCGAGCTTCGGCTCGGTCGAGCGGTGGTGCCCCCGGGTCCTCCCTCGAGCGCTGGTCGCCCCGGTATCTGTGGCCATTGTAGTCTTCGGGCCAGCCTGTTTTGGGTGGTGAGGCAGGAGCGCCACTTCGGGCCTCTGCCGTCTCGCTGGCACCCGTATTCGTAGTCGGTGCACCGCTGCAGGATTCTTGCGCCCGTGGGCCTCCCAAGTGCGTGCTACGAACCTGGCCCTCCTCTCCTCCTCCGCCTGTTTCCTGGCTTGCTCGAGTACTGCGCTGATCTCTTTGAGCTCGGCTTCTACTTCGTCGTGTTCTTCGGCCGTGGCTTCAGCGGTGAGTCGTTGTCGTAGGCTCCTTCGTCGTCGTAGTAACTGGAGCCGGTGCGCTTTTGTTTTCTTCGTTAGCTCGTCTACCTCGTCCTGTCTCGTGTTCTTCACAAACGTAATAAGCATGGCTTATCGTACTGCCCCCTAGAAGGTCCCAGGTAGCATCCGGGGTCGGTTCTGAGATCGCCTCCTCCCATTCATTTTTCCCTCCCCACCGCCTCTACTTCATGGTCGATGGTAGGAAGGAGTTGCTCCCGCTTGTGTCCGGTGCGGAGGCCCTCCAGAAGTCCGTCTCTGCACAGACCTTGTTCTATACGGGGCCGAGTGGGGAAGGAGGAGGTGGCGGTCGATGCCTGTAGCGTAAGGCCTATGGGTAAGTGGTCTTTGTGTCCTCGCGCTTTTATCTTCTGGAGTCGTTTGCCTGATGTGTGGAGTGCCGCGCATTGTTTTACAAGCCCTAGTGCACCAGTCGGGCTAGCTATGTGGTCTACTCTGCTGGTGTGTCCCGAGTGTCCGTTGTAAGTTGATCCTACATTGTAGTGGGTAGTGAGTACGCTGAGGTCGCTTGTATGGCAAAGGTTTATGTAGCTGGTGCCGTTGGCGCTCTCTATCTTAGGCTGCTGCCTACCTATGGTCGGACATTTGGTGCCTATTATTGTACCGTCGTAGTCGTGCTGGCACCCTAGGTCACTGTTCACGCCTCCTCCCAGGATAACTGTGGTGCGACACCCTAGCTTGTCTGTGCGTTGTTCCAGCCACCCTGTGATACTGTCTGCCAGTGTTGCGTAGTATGTGACATGTATAGGTGTGTAGTAGTGCACAGTAGAGGCATAGTCGTATCCCCTGGTGGCGATTCTGACTCCTGAAACCCGTCGCTGGAGGCATGCTGGTGGGGTGCATATCTCTCTGGTGGCTCTTTCGTTTATCCTGTGACTGATTAGGCTGTCCCGCAACTCTTGTTGACCCATTTGCCCTGCCGGGCCCCAAACTGTAGCACGACACGTGAGGGTTGGTATGTACGCTGTACGGCCTCTAGTCCTGCCCATCTGCACGTGCCACATAGTAATACTATGTCCCAGCTGTGTAGTTCCTTACTTAT